TAGCAAACCTCTACTCTGCCTAGGTTAGTCTCACTGGAATTATGATTTTCAACAACACAGGCCGATCAGATTTGCTTCAAAATTATGAATCCAAGGGCATGGCCGAGCGAGCCGAAGGCGAGTTCGGCACAGACCTAGGCAGAGTGGACGTTCAGTGTCAGAAAAGTCACCATAGCAAACCTCTACTCTGCCTAACTATTTTTAAAAAAGAGAGTTAACATATTTTATGTTTTGCGGTTTTCTAATCTTAAGACAGCATTTTCCTGTATTAGGAGAATATAAAGCCTACATTTTGACACTTTTTTGTTGTTCATGTAATCCAGGGGACGATAATATGTAAGACGGACTGTCACAAATTATTTTTTTATTCTGTGATCCTGATACAATATTTGGAAAGAAATCAGGAGAGTATCTGTATCTGTGATCCTAATTTTAACACGAAATTGGTCTTAAAAGAACGTACTGCTTTCTTACGTTTCTGTTGTTCCCGATCTCACAATTTTTGAATAAAAAAAAACAAGTGTATAACCTTCGTTTTTACCTGTGCCAGAGGCATTATCGAGCGAGCCGGAGGCGAGTTCGGCACAAACCTAGGCAGAACATAGGTTCAGCATGGGAAGTCACCCTAGCGAACTTTGGGATACCCACTGAGCCGAGGGAGAGCAGGGAACAACCCTTAACAGAGTGGAGAGATCTGCTATGGTAACTTTTCTTAAGCTGAACTTCTACGGTGCCTAGGTTTGTGCCGAACTCGCCTTTTGGCAATGTTTCTAGATTTGTCTTTTTTAAGCAAAGTTAGTTCACCTGCTGTGTTGTCAAAAATCGTAATCCCAGTTTGTTTTGTTTATTGTAACCACTTGATGTTTCCCGGGCGGGCTGGAATTGGGGGTGAGGGTTCGCTCACTGACTAAGCCTTAACTTTCGGTCTACTTACGAGCGAGCGATAAATGGCAATACTCGAGACCGAAAGTCCACGGCAACAGGGAACTGCGGGTATTAGGGGATGTAATGTCCTGCATTTTAGAGAACCCCGCCCCTGAATCACGCTCCACTGTAAACATTAATCATATTATGATTATAAGGGCTACTTGCAAATATTATATCTCTAATTCAATTAATTAGTGTTAATTGAAAAGAATTTACCTTGCAGTGCAGTATTGCGATAGTCAGTTTGTACTTTGTGTACATTTTTAGTAACGTTCCCCTCATTACACGACCAAATTTCACCTTTATTTTACTGAGTATATCTTTCTATTGCCCACTCGAACGCTTTCTTTACAAGTTCAAACTCACCGTTCCTTTCGATCCCATGATCGAAGCTGGGAAACTGACAAGATCCCTGAAAAGTTGACTGACCTGATAACGGAAACATGTGAAGGAAGTCGTTAAGTATCGAGAAGTTTTTGATTTATATGGGTCAAAGGACGACGCTAAATAAATACTGACAATCGTCAACCTATCCGGCAACTACCTAGAAGACTGCAGTTGGCTAAGAGGGAGGACACGGAGAAGAGTAATCAGTTATTTCAGCAAGACGTTATCGGAACTAGAACAGAACTACTGGGTTACTAGGAGGGAGTTATCGGTAATAGTCAAGTCTTTGGAGTAATTCTACATGTACTTGTATGAAAGAAAATTCTTGCTTAGGACTGATCACGTTCCTTTGAAATGGCTACTGCAATGCAAGAATCCCGAATGTTAGGTATGGACTTAGCGTTTTCAACAAAAAAATTTGCGGAAGAAGCTCTAAATTTTGTACAATCTTAATTAAAAATTCACTTCATTTCCTTGAAATCTGCTGTTGTTTTACTTATATTTCGTCATTCTTAAGTTGGCGAAACTGAAAAATTTTCTTACTTTTCATATCTCATGTAGATCTCATGTAGAGAACTACTTACTGGTATTATGGTATAATTGAAAACACATGTATAATAGTTGTTGGACGTTTATTAAATCGTGAAAAAATAACATAACCTATTAAGAAATTAAAGTTGGCACTCAGGAACCATTACCAACTTAAAAACAATCACATAATTTGGAGTAATATAACCTCACTTTCGACGAAATGAATTGAACTTTTAATTAAGATTGTGGAAAATTTAGGGCTTCTTCCGCAAATTTTTTTGTTGAACATTTTTTTTGCATTATTGTTTGTTGTTAAGTCGAGGGGCTACTTTTGGTCCGCAGGTTAACGGTCAAAACGGGAACAGAATTGCCTTAATGACATCATCAGCTGTTTAGTAAGCGCAACAGCGCGGCAATTCAAATTGGCTACAAATTTAACCCGCAATACAATCTCGGGCGAGCCTTATCCTTGAATGTCGCGCGAATGCAAATGCTTCAATTACAGACAAAACATTCATTACTCATAAATCGATTTATACAAACACACACACTCGCGCAGAAATTCTTTTTCCGCGCCAACCTCCAGTCACAACAATGGCTACATGCAGCAAGCTGAATTTCACAGCCATAAATCGTGCTCATCCCCGATACTATCTGACCTCGAGATACAAACACAACACGCCCACAAGATTCTAGACAACTAAATCAATTTCGTGTAGATAAAAAACCGCTTCGATTTCGCGTCGCGATGACTCACTTCTCGCGCGGGCGAATTTCCGCGGCGCAATTAATCACGGTTTCGTAATCACGCGCATACGAAGAGGTACCTACTAAGTGGTTAACAAAAGGAGAAGTCGTAAGATAAGTTAACTGATGACTCTGTCATCTAAGCCTGGTACGTTTGCATGCTTTGTAAGATTATCATGGTAGATTTAAGAAGCCGTCCGACTGGATGAAAAATGACTTCGAACTTATTATTAATAACGTACATACGATGTAAGTTACGTTTGTCTAAATGAAAATGTTTTTGTTTTTAAAACGAGACGCGTTGCGAGGAGCGTAATGAAATCATTAACGCGATTTATACGAACAATTTAACTTTAATTGCGCCGCTTCTTCGACGAAAGTTGCGCGTCTAATCGGAACCAATCGATGAATTAATATTTTTATACCGCTTCGAGTAATCGAGACGGTCGACTTGTGGCGAACCACGAAAACCGCACCTCGAAGTGCTAAAATATGCAAATTTATCAATTTTACATTTTTTGATGAATACGACGCCACACTAAATTTTACACGTGCGCGCTAGGTCGCCACAAAACAGGCAATTCAAACACTGTTTCGGATATAACATTTCGCCTGCTATATAAATATATCACAAATATGGCATACTTGAAAGAACACTGTAGAAAATTTGAAATTTCAGAAGTGGAAATCAGTAGAAAGGAAATTTTTTACACGTTACAAAATAGGCCTTTTGAAAATTCATTTCGATATTTTACGTTTCTTTAAAAATGTTGGAAATGTGCTCCTGATTAAATCTTTGATAAAAGTGCTCCTAATTCAATATTTTTTAAAAGGGAAATTCGTATTAAGAGACAATAATATACTAAAAAGCGTTTTCCAATTACTTTAACACCTTATTGAGTTTCTGTGGTCCTGATAAATCATTTTAAAAACGAAATTTTATTTATTATAGAAATTTGTCTGCATAATACGTGATAATGATCTCTCCGTACATTTTACGTCTTTGTGCGTATCTCTCCCGCGGATACAACATTTTTTGAACAAAAATTTGTATGAGGAGAAAATAATGTTCGAGATGATATTTTTACGCTTCCTTGAGATTCTGTGATCCTGATACTGATGCTTGAATAAATTTTACTTTTTTTTGCTTCTATAACCCTACTAACCTACTTTTTAAAGCAAAATTTGATCAGGAGATGTTGAAAAACCTAGTGGTTTCTATGCCCCTGGTACAAACTTGATGATAGTTTTCCATTCCATCGCCCGTTTCTCTCCTCCTAATACAATACTTTTGAATGAAAAAATGTATTAGAGGAAAAGAATACTTGAGATGGTATTCTAATAAACTTTACTCTTCTTGAGTTTCTGTGACTCTGATAAGTTATTTTTCAAAGGCGAAATGCGATACAGAACATTTTTTCTCTTCTAGACACAGTATTCTTTAAAAGGAGAATTTGTTTTTGGATAACAGAATACGTAAGAAAGTAATTTTAAAAGAGATTCATATTTACATCTTGAGCTTCTATAGTCCTGATTTGATAGCGAACTATTTTTTATACCTTCTCTACTGCTACAATATTTTTTAAATGAAAAATTTGTATTAGGCGAACATATTATCTAAGGATAACTTTTTCATCTCGTTCCATAGTCCTAAGCGACATTTTACTAGGTGGCACTAAATTTTATTTTTTTAATTTCTTCTGTTCTTGGGTGTATTTTCTGCAGTGAACGTTGTATTAAGTGAACATAGTGCATGAAGAGGTATCTTTCTATAAATTTGACTCGCGTTTGTGGGGTTCTGACAAATAACTTGTATCGGAAGAACATAATAATCAAAAGATGTCAGTCACTATTTTACCCTTACTTTTGTTTCTGTGGCCCTGATAATAAAAATTTATGCGCGAGGTGGATCGTTTTACATTTTCCTTGATTCCTTGTTATCAGGCGAACATGAAGGCACTTGCCAGCAAATATGAATAACACTTGAGCGCCTATGATTTTGATATGCCATTTTTTTTAAAAACTGAAATTTGTATTTCAACAATATTGTAATTTCAAATTTTGCACATTTTTACGCTTCTGAGAACCTGATATAGAATTTTTTAATACAGAAATTTGTATCAGGAGCATATAAAACCTTGTGATTAAATTTTACGTCTATTAGAGATTGAAAAAAATTACAGCAGGATAACAGAATTTTTTATAACAAAAGTAGTATCGGGAGAACATAATAGTGATATGACAATTTCTGTGGAAAATGGCGAAGATTTATAATATATATATATTACACAAATTCTTGCGTTTCTGCAATCCTAATACGGAATTCTTTAACAGATAAGTTTGTATCAGGGACACATAAAACGTGGGATGTATTAATTGTCACCTACCTTTCCTATTACAATGTAATCTCATTTATTGACTTTCTCCTCGTCTGCACCACTGGTTACATTCGCCAGCGCCTTTTCGATCGATTCGTAAGTGGCGAGCTCTTGCTGCGCCGAATTTTCACGCGAAAGGAAGCGGTAGATTACCGGACTTAACAGGTCGCGGTCCACCTTCGGATCGTCCTTCTTCCTCGTCCACCAGCCGACTAAAACACCCACGCTGATCAGCGTGTAGAAGTGGAACGATATCTGGAATGTGAGCGGCGGTTTCTCGGGATCTGCCTCCGAGGGTTTCGATCTGAAATTAGAGGTCTAAGTATAATTGGTTGATCGGGGGCGCTTACATGATGGTGAATTTGGCGACGCAGTGTTCCGTCGACATCGGTTTATACTCGTGCTTCACCCTGCCCATGAAAATGTAGGCTTGGGCGCCGAAGACGAGCATGGCAGTGAGAATTGACGAAACGATTCCTCCCCAGAGAGCCCCCTAAAAGCTGGAGTTTCGGGGGTTACCTTCTTATTTACGATTGGAAATAGCATTCCCAAGGAGATGAGGCCCAGAAGAGGTCCGTGCGTCACTGCATGGAAACTCAAGAAGATCTGAACCACTCCTCCCAGCTTTTCAATGACGAATATCAGCCCCAAACACAGCAGCCCGCTGACCACCACGATTATCTTGAGTATCCGACTGGTCGTCCTTCTGGAGATGTGACTAGACCTGAGGAAGTCTTCGTTAGTTGAGCTGAAATGTTGGGTCGCACTCATTGGAATTTTGCGATCGAGACTACCTGAGCGCGGTTCCGCAGACGCCAGCGACGAGCAGTCCGGGCAGCCCCTTGATACGCCCCACGTCCGGCAGGTAGTAGGGAAGCATCTGGGCAACCCTGTTAATCTTCCCCAGCGAGAAGGGGTCGCAATCCATGTACGTCGCAAAGAGAATGAAACCAATCCAGCAACTGGCCACCTTCGTGATAGCAGTTCCCACCCCAAACACGATGGCCGCCCTGCAATTTAACCTGGTGATCCACTACGACCTGGTGCGCTTACCGTTTTACGGCGGTGTAGGTGGTCAGAGACAAGAATCGCTGTACTGAGGACGGATTCACCCCTAAATTCTCGACGAAAGTCGCCCACATTCCTATCGCGACCCCCCAAAATGTCTGCCTCACCGTCGGGTTGAAGTTGAGGCTGCAAGTCTAGCAAGTGAGGGGTACTACTCTTCCGGCAACTTACTCGAACAGCTCGATTCTATCGCGATCACTCGCGTCGCTTCAGATCTTTACGAATCCCCCAGACATGTACGTGCCGATCCCGATGACGATCAACATCTGGATGGTGTCCAGTACCACAGCCCTGAGCCCGCCCAGAGTCGTATAGAAGAGGCGCACCAAGCAGATGAGCGTGCTGACTACGTACAGATTTAAACCAGTCACTGAAACACCACCGTAAGTTTTGCCATTATGCCACCTGAACCTGGACCGACCTTGGGTTAGCCCCAGTGACGGAATGTAAATCACGATAGGCACGTGGAGAATCGCCGAGAGAACGTAGGGCTATGCTTGGTAAGTTTTTTCTACCTACGCTCATTTTTTCCAATTCAAGAAGGAGACACTGTAACGGTACAATTTGGGTCTCTCGGAAAATTGTTACCTCTTCTGCCTTCGTTCCTGTCTATCAACATTTTTAAGAAGCTGTCTTGGGAATCGCATTGAAAAACATAATTTCTTTTTAGAAATATTCTTCAAGAACGTTTTATTAATTTTTTCGCAATAAAGATCGATTCTCACTTGCGACGCGACGCGATGCGACGCCGGCGCTGCAAAGTGTCGCTAAAAAAGACTTTTATATGAATCAGTTTTCACTTAAACTAATCTTTATTTAGCGACACTTTGCAGTGCCACAGCTGAACGTTTACACTGCCTAGGTTTGTGCAAAGTAATTGCAAAGTTGATGCTGTAAAGGTTTTGGAAATACCATAGAACTATTTCCGAAACATTCATAAGACAAGATTCTAAGAAAATTCCTTCGTAGATTTGCAGAATGAAGACGAAGAAGTTTCCCAAAAATAAGGTTCTTCTTAAGGGTTAAGGTCGACTCTCACTTACGCTGCACTCCGCAAGGCGACGCGACGCGATGCGGCACTGCAAAGTGCCACTAAATAAAGATGAGTTTAAATGAAAACTCATTCATATAAAAATATGAAGTCTTTTTTCGCGACACCTTGCAGCACCGGCGTCGCGTCGCCGAGCTGAGGGTAACGCAAGTGACAATCGACCTTTATTGCGAAAAAATTAATAAAACGTTCTTGAAGAATATTTCTAATGAGAAACGATGATTTTCAATGCGATTCCTAAGACAGCTTCTTAAAAATGTTCATAGACAGGAACGAAGGCGTCAGAAGAGGTAACAATTTTCCGAGAGACCCAAATTGTACAGTTACAGTGTCTCCTTCTTGATTTGGACAAAATAAGCGTAGGTAGAAAAACCTTACAAAGCATAGCCCTAGTCTTTTTTTGCCAAACCCTGCTTTGCGGAAGGTCTGGTTGTCTCATTATTAACCATAATGAAGACGTAGATAGCGCGAATGTTCAAAGAGATTGTTTAATTACCCGCGCGCTGATTTTCAGCGATTAAAGTGGCGCAGGAATGTTAAAGAAACGAAGGTCGGCTGTTAATGAGGTTATTAAAAGAGCTCGGAAGATCAAGAAGTCGTACGTATACATATGTAGTTACTTATACGCGTACTAATTGAACATCGAGAACGACAGGTGAGCAAAAAGTTCTCGAATAAGGCGGTTACATGTGTTTTCTCGTGCATCAACGTACCGAGGCCGAGGCGACGTTTTTAGAGCGGCGGCGTGCCTTTGAGGGCCGCCGATTGTTCGATCGAGCGAAGGAGAAGAGGATCAGGACGAATTTCTCTATTCCAGAAAATATGAATAATACATGCTTAAGGAAGGAATGCATCTAGCGAGACGAAAAAAAAGTGGAAGAAGAAAAATTCGTCCGTCCATTGTCTTCGTCGATGATAAAAACAATAATAAAGTTATATTTATTCCGACGATTAAGGGCGTCGTAAATTTCCTCGTCAAAAAGCCAAGACCGAGCCAATTATTGGGCTCGTACTTAATTACCGAGCGGGAAAGTAAAAAAAAAGTTGGCCATTTCGCGATTTATTACCATTCCTCTTCTTCATCGTCCTCCTCTCTTCTTCATTTCGTATTCGCCGCTGCGGTCATATTTTATGTACGCGCACGCATAACCTCCACTCTCAAAAGCTATTTCAATACTTTATTTAGCATTAATGGCGACCGAGATTGAGTGTGGAGTTGGTCGTAAAATCTTCAGAATCGTAATTCACAAGCAGCGTAATGAAAGAGTCTGGTAAGTAGTTTTTTTCGCGGCAATTGTTGAACGCGACTAACAACATAAACGCAATTATGGACGTCTTTAACTCGGTAGTTACTCTATCGAGATTACCACGAGCACATGTTTCTCATTATAAATACTTGAACCGAAAAAAAAAGGTGGGAGGTCGTGGACCTCTTCGGCCGCGCGCCCTCCACCCCCGCCTCAATTTCGGGATAGGCCCCGATTAGAAAACACAAACTAATCGAGCTGTCGAATTAAAATGGCAGATCGATAAATCACACGGCGAACTGCCCTTGTTAAAGGAGAAGAAAGTCGCGGTCCCCCTCGAATTGTTTGGGAGATGTCAATCGTGCAGCTCGCGAGTTATGCCCAACAATTGAATTGAATTAATTTAAATTCTGACGTGTCGTAATTTATGGGAAATGCCCCGACCGCTCAATAAAATAATAACTTAATCGAGAAACGAATCGAAAACAAAGAAAACTGTTTAGGAAATATTAATTATCAATTTACATTTCTGACATGCTTTAAGTTGGTCGGTCGGTAATAAAACAATTGGAAAAAAATGACCGGTTGAACGAACTTCTCCATTCTTAATTAACCCGATTAAGATTGGACTTGAAGAGGTGATTCTAAGGTTGTGTAGCTCTCTAGATTTTCAATTATGCGTTAGGCAAACTGAATTTCCCATGTCAAGAAGGAGACACTGTAACGGTACAATTTAAAGTCTTGTTAGAGTGCGAGAAAAAGTCTCATCATGGGCTCACTTCATTTCAGCAGACGCCTAAATCTATCCATTTCCGAACAACCAGTTTGATACAATGCATAAACTCAAAAGGAAATCTGGATTCACTCGTATTTTCTTAATCACTTCGAGATGGTTTTCAAACTCATATTACCGATCATGGACATGTATTAGGAGAACATCAAGTATAAAAAAAATCAAGGATTTTTACACACTGATAAATATTGTATACGAATTTTACGAAGCTGTGGCTTGTGATCCCAGCTTTTCTTTGGAATTTGCTGTACAGGAAGATAGAAAGATAAGAAAGTGTAAAACGGAGACATTCATTATGCTCTCCTGATATAAAACGTAGCATCAGGATGAGTACCACAGAAATTCACGTTAACCTACTCCTTATCACGAATTATGCTCCCCTGCTACAAATGTTTGCTGTGTATATATTGGGACCACAAAAATGAAAGAAGGTGTAAAATTTATGGGCAGACACTTGTTGCGGTTTTTCCTTTTGAAATGCTGCATCGAGATCGCTATAAAACTTAAATTAGGGTATCAAGATCATAGAAACACAGCCTCTGTCTCTTGATTTATCATTTTAAAGCCAATCTAGTTTGCTGTGACGTAGAATCCAAAACGACTCGTACTTTTTCGATTAGACCTCTCAATCAAAAGTTATGGACAAAAAACCAATTTCGAAAGAAAATTCAAAGGTCTGTAACTTTTGATCTAGTGGCCCAATCTTCAAACTGTTTGAAATTATGGATTCTACAGGCCACATTCTATAAGAAAATGTTTTTTCCCCGTCGATCTCAATTTTTTTTCCGGCTTCAAGAAAAGCAAGTGTATAACCTTCCTTTTTTACCGAAAATCGACTGCCCCGAAAAATTTGTTTATAGAAAATTTCTCCCTTATTAGATTTTCCTGATGTCCCTTGGCACACTACCTTCCGAAATGGTGGTATCAGGATCGCGGAAACGCAAGATAGTGTCAATTTGTTGACCGACATCTCATACATGCTTCTGATCCTTTAAAAATTGTTATATCAAGAGAACAGAAACGCGACATGGAAAAATCTCTTGTTAATTCCCTGATTCTCTCCTGATAGAATCCCCGACTTTGAAATTGTTAGATCAGAATCACATATTTGGCAAAAGTGGGCATAGATATAGAGTTATCTTATGTAGTATGTTTCCCTTGCGCAATTTTCTCTTCTAAAACCGTTGCATCAGGAGCACAATCTTACGTATTATGTTCTCCTGATACAAATTTTGATTCGAAATAAAGTTACTAACGTTTTTGACCAAGACTTGAGAAACCCATAAACGTGTAAACCTCCTCCCTTATTATGTTCTCCTGATACTCTTCTGATACAAACTTTTAATTAAAAAATTGTGAGATCGGGATCACAGAAATGCAAGGAAGTGTCGATTTGTAACGGTAGTGCAAGATTTAGTGTGGCGTTGACCGCCATTTTGGAAATGGTGGAAAAATTATTGGGGCGATTGGCTGGAAGGTGAAGGTTGAGTTGGTCCAATCAATTTGTAAATGAATGACAAATTTAACTCGAGTCGCGTTAATTTCGTATAAAACGATATTGGACCGGTTTGAGCATGACTACTTCTAATCCTAAACTTGTTTCCATTCTGTCGGCACTTTGATCAGCCTCTATTAGATATAGCTGCATGATTTTGTTAGTTCGATTCACAGCGGGCCCTTGATGCATGCACGCTTTTTCTATAAAGCACATTCTAGACAAGTTATTGCCTTGTTACTGTCTATGTTAAATGCTCATAACAGAGGCCTTTTCAGCGTGGCCGAGCGAGCTCGCCGAGTAGAAAAAATTAATAATGTCGCATCGTAATCGTTCCATTACGCGTAAAAAACGGAATATATCTCGACGCAGGTCGATGAAAATGGAAATACGTCCGGGATTTATTGCCTTACATCGATTACATGTTGTTTGTGGAAGTGTAACGCGATACGCCAGATCGAATGGTAAATGAAAAATTGAGATGCGAACTGCCTCTTTTGCCTATCTTTGGATTTAACTTTTTTCTCTCTCTTGTTTTAGGTAAGTCGACGCTTTGAGTTATGGCCTCGTACCCGGGGGTAAGTTTTATCTCGATCAAATAATAAAGAACCGTTAGCGGAAAGTGCAGCTCACGCAAGCTTATTAGTTACAATATAATCATTTATTGAACTGGTTCGATTATTGCCTTTTATAACTTGTTTTCGAATCGTATGATCGTGATTGTCTTAGATTGCGATCTTGCCCAGTTGAGTTAAGATGCCATTATCGGATATAATGAGTGTTTTGATTCAATGCCGTTCCGTGTATTCATCTTCTTCGTATTGAATGTCTCAATTGACATGCAGAATGCGCGCACGTGTATTTTATATACACCTTGTTTCTGTATTCGTTCGTCTTATGTCATTCCGTTCGAAACAAAAGGTTACACGCTTTGAATATTGTTAGTCTTGTTAAGCCTAACCATAGATACCAGTTTGGGCAAAGAATCTTAGTATGCTCCCTGCTCGGGCGCCATCTGGCGCCCCCGATTCGGACGCCAACATATTCCGGTAACCTATTTGAGAAAGTTTAGAACGATGCGTCTATGACACAACTAATAAATTTTTGTGGCAACCTTTGTAAGGCTTTCATTTTGTTCATGTGCTCCTGATACATTGAATTCTTTGTCTAACGGGCTTTGACGATGTAAAATTTAATGGGGTTCTTGTTCCTAACCTCCAATACGATTAATATGTTTTCTTTGGCAAGTTTTTGTAGAATTTTCCATTACTTATGTACTCCTGTTACAATCAAAATGCGCAAACGTTTCCATTCGTTATCTACTCCTGTTACAATCAAATGGGTTTCAAAAGGAAAATAGGTGACAATATTTGTCTGTAATGTCTTTAAATCTACTTTTCTTTTAAATTTTGCTCCTAATACATTAAATTCCGTCCAAAGAGCGAACATCAATTTTCCTTAATATGTGCCATCCCTTTAAATCCTATCCATAAGGCTTCTGAGGCAAATAATACGTTTGTTTGAGAAAGCTTTTGTGAAATTTTCTTTTATTTATGTGCTCCTGTTGCCATATTCTCTCGTAACTTTGGATTTTAGAAGGCAAAATTGGACGCGAATAGATGTCTGTGATCTTAATAATGGCAGTTTTTTGGAACTTGTATATTCCTAATACGTTGAATTCTTTACCGAAAGGGCTTTCATATCACGCAGACATAAAATTTCCTCAATCCGTCTTGTCGTCTTCGGAATGTTTCAGGGGCAACTAATACTCTTTTTTAACTTTCGTTATTTATGTGCTCCGGTTACAAGAAAATTCTTTGTCGGGAAAGTTTGGACACGAAAAGGTGTCCGTCATCTAGATCTAACTGCTCTTGATACATTAATTTATCACTCTAAACGGCTTTGATATCAGGCGGATATCAAATTTCCTCTATTTGAGCTATCCGGCGCTATCCCTTTAAATCCTTTCCTCTCCATAACGCTTGTGAGTCGAGTAACAGGTTTGGGGCTTATATAAAAACCTTCCTTTATTACTGTGCTCTTGTCACGATTAATTCTTTTCTTGGATAGGCGTCTTTAATGTCAATGAATTTAATTCGTTGTACTCTTTCCTCTTGTTGCAATGCATTCGTTGTTTAAAAAATTTTGTGCAAAGAAGGCAAATGTGATAATTTATATTGTGCTAGCCTTCTAATCCTTGCTCGCTTTTTATGCTCCTGATACTACTGACATTTTATGGAGAAAAGCTTTTTAATGCTTCACTAATTTCTGTGCTCCTGTCACAATTTATTTTTTTGAAATTTAATTTGTATTAAATAGCCACTTACATATAAGATTAATTAATTAAGATTGTTAAATGTTTTATGAAAAGCTTTAATAAAATCTTCATTTCTGTGCTCCTGTCACTATTAATTTTATTAAATAGACACTTATAATATGAATTAATTAAGTTTGCTGGATTTATGTGCTCCTTGTACCACTGATACGTATTTGGGAGAAGCTTTCATAAACCTTTGCTCCTCCCTTGTGCTCCTGATACTACTCATGCGTTTTTGCGGGAGGCTTTCATGAAACCTGTTCTTTTATTTCTGTGCTCCTGTCAGGATTAACTTTTGGTTAAATGGGCGCCTTTATTATCAATTAATTGGATTTTTCTCTTGATAATAATTGTGTGAAAAATGTTGAAATCAGGAGGTAACATTTTAGGATATTTTTTTGGTACTGACTTCATGCTAGTTTTTAAATCCTCGCTCGCCCTTTGTGTTCCTGGTACCTTTTTGAGAAAATGCTTTAATAAAGCCTTTTATTTGTGTGTTCCTGTCACGAGTCTTTTTTGATGTGACATTTTAGGGTTTTTTTTCTTAATGACTTTGTGTTAGCCTTAGACTCGCCCTTTATGCTCCTGATACTATGGTTTTGAGAAAAGTTTTAGATTAGTTTAGAATAGAAATGTTAGGTTAAAGTGCTCGTTAGGTTAGGTGAGAAATCTTGTATCAGGAGAATATAATGCGCGAGGAGGTGATTGAAAGTTAGAGGAAGGTATTGGTGAGGTTACGTTAGAGTGCTAGTTGGGTTAGGTGAGAAATCTTGTACCAGGAGAATATAATGTGCGAGGAGGTGATTGAAGGTTAGATTAAGACGAGGATTAATGTATTGGTGAGGTTAGGTTAGAGTGCTAGTTAGGTTATGTGAGAAATATTGTATCAGGAGAATATAATGTGCGAGGAGGTGATTGAAAGTTGGGTTAAAATATAAGTGAGGGTAGGTTAGAGTGCGAGTTAGGTTAGGTGAAAAATCTTGTATCAGGAGAATATAATGTGCGACGAGGTTATTGAAGGTATAGCTAAGGTATTAGTGAGGTTAGATTAAAGTGCTAGTTAGGTTAAATGAGAAATCTTGGATCAGGAGAATATAATGTACGAGGAGGTGATTGAAAGTTAGGTTAGGTGAGAAATATTGTATCAGGAGAATATAATGTTCGAGGAGGTGAGGAGTTGCTAGTTATAGAATACAATAAACCTGCTTTTGTTTTAGTTTCCATTCAATTTGCTGTTTGGATATCATAAAGTGTCTGTAATCTTAATAAAACTATTTTTATACTTGTATGCTCCTGATACATTATATTCTCTGTCTCGAGGGTGCTGTCCCTTTAAATCCTATCCTCTCCATAACGGTTGTGAGGCAACTAATGGGTTTATTTTCATTTGAGGGGGGGGGGGCTCACTACTACTGATGCGTTTTTGAGAAAAGCTTTTATAAATTCTTATGCTCCTGCCAGGATTATTTTTTTAAACAGACACCCTTAATATCATTTTATTTAGTTTGTTGAATTTGTATGCTTCTGCCACGGTGTAAGGAAAGCTTTCATAAAATCTTCAATATTTTCTGTGCTTCTGTCACGATTAATTTTTTTAATAGACACCTTCAATATCTTTTATTTAGTTTGTTGGATTTTGTTTGCTCCTGATACTACTGGTACGTTTTTGAGAAAATGAAACCTTCTTTTATGTCTGTGCTCCTGTCACAAGTAATTCTTTTTTGAATATGCGCCTTTAAATCTTTGCTTTTTCCTTACGTTTCTGAGGAAGGCTTTTTTTTATTTCGGTGCTCCTGTCACGAATTGGTCAAACAGGCGCCTTTAATGTCAATTAATTTATTTTCTTGGTTTTTTTATGCTCTTGATACAAAGAACACACTGTGTGACAGGTGTACTACACTGATACGTTTTTACAAAAATGATTTATAAAACCTTTTATTTCTGTGCTCCTGTCACGAGCAATCTTTCTGTATAGACGCCTTACTTTGATGTGACATTTTAGCAGGTTTTCTTATTACTGAATAATGAAGATTTTATGAAAGCTTTCCTTAAAAACGTGGCCGTAGTATCAGGAGCGTACAAATTCAACAAACTAAATAAAATGATATTTAGGCTGTCTGTTTAAACAAATAATCGTGACAGGAGCACAGAAATTAATAAAAACTTTATAAAAGCTTTTCTCAAAAGCGCATCAGTAGTATCAGGAGCATAAAAATCCATCAAAATAAATAAATTGATATTAATGGTATCTATTATAAATTCGTGACAGGGACACAGAAATTGATGAATATTTTATGCAAGCTTTTCTTAAAAACGCATCAGTAGTATCAGCAGCATAAAAATACAATAAACTAAACAAACTGATATAAATGGTGTCTATTTAAAAAAATAATCGTGACAGGAGAACAGACATTAATAAAGATTTTATAAAAAACTTTTCTCAAAAACCTGTCATTAGTATAAGGGGCATAAAGGGTGAGCTAGGATTTAAATGCCTAGCACAAAGTCAAAACCTCCTGAAATGAGACATCCGCCTGATATCAAAATCTTTCAGACAGCGAGAAGGACATAAAAAACAAACGAATTAAATTAATTGACATTAAATCGTGACAGGAGCACAGGAATAAAGGAAGATTTTTTATGAGTTCCCCCCCCCCCCCCCCCCCAATAAAAATAAACCCATTAGTTGCCTCACAAGCGTTATGGAGAGATAGGGTTTAAAGGGATAGAATCGGATAGTACCAATAGAGGAATGTGCCTGATATCAAAAGCCCTCGAGACAGAGAACATAATGTATCAGGAGCATACAAGTACAAAAATAGTTTTATTAAAATTACATACACTTTCTGATATCCAAACTTACAAAAGTATTATATGGAGATAGGGATAGCACAAATTAAAGACCAAGAAAGTTTTGGGATTTTATATCTTCCTAATAACAAACCTCTTTAAACAGAAAATTGAATATATCAGGAGCATGGAAATGAAAAGTAAAGCAGGTTTATCACTTTAACCTAACCTTCAATCACCTCCTCGCAATTATATTCTCCTGATACAAGATTTCTCACCTAACCTAACTAATATAATGAACTCCGTGTGTGAAGGACAGATGTAATATTTTGGCACCAAACAATGCAAGTAGTAAGG